CTCCGCAAAAATTGTCCCGAACGGCAGGACCCATCCTGATCGAGGTGGGTGGAGTGACGGTGTCACTCTAGCTTTAGGAAGAATTTGCTCAGATTTCCTCCTTTGATGCGACCTCCTCTCTCAGTCCACTTACCCTCCTTTCAGTTTTCCCAAAATTTTGCTGTCGGGAGGAGAGAGGAGGGTGGTGGCACCTCCCATCAACTGTCAGAAATAGTAGTTTTGCCTCGCCGCCGACTAGAGAGGGCAGAGCACGAACGAAACGGGAAAAATCGTAAGTCAGAAGAACATCACGCGGGGTGAGGGAGACAAAGAACGATCTCTCTACCCAACCTTGGAATCGCGCGCGCAATCCACCCCCCCCCCCTTACCGCATTCAGCTCCAGAACAATTTCGTGCAAAAATTCTTTTACGTCAAGAAAACTCACAATTATAAATTAATGGAGCACGTGGTTCAGCAGCAACCATACTGTTACTGTTGATATGATCGGATATGAAGCGTATACGAACGGACTGAAAGATACTTTACCCATGAAAAACCGATAGCGAGATCGATCAAATAAAAATCAATATTTTACCTTGCCACGCTTAGTGTACTTCTTATAGAATCTCAAGAACACTGTGATTATCGCACATAAAGCGAGCAGAAGACATAACGCAATGATGACAGCATAAAGTGCCCTGAAACGTCATTACAGTAAGCCACACAAATTGTACAGACTGATCGACCCCTAGAGTTGAGCCATGCGTTCTACTACCACTTGTAATCGCAAAGGAGTTTGAATGCTTACATGGCCTAAGCAATGTCTTGGATGGTACTTTATGATAGAGAACAGTACCAAAAAAAGTGTGGAATGAGACGATGACAGGGCGTGTAGGCGGCAAGCTTATGAAGGACTGCTATAAAGGCACATCATCAATGAGCAATCCTCATGAGGAAGGGAGAGGGAGTCGTATCCTAGTCATCAAGGACAGGATCGTCGAGGCTGGCTCGTTGATGGATGTTCACTTCAACTTGAAGGAGCATGGAGGATTTCGGAACTATTGTCGTCCCGTTGCAGATATAGCCGCCTCTCGCTGGCGGGAATTGGTGAACTGATGACT